TCCAAGTTGCAGATTGCCGTCATGAAATTGGCTGCAAGTTAGCTGCTCACTATATTCATAGCGCGGGCAGACTAAGTCAACTTTGTGTGATGTCAGCACCGCTCCGACCCCTGCTGATCGTTCGACAAGAGTGCCCAGGAACAGCGAATATATCATGGGACACACAGAGTCTGTGCCCGTTCCCAGCATCCGGCAGGGAGCACACAGTTGACCGCAGATAGTACCTGATCATGGGCACTGCTGTCGAGCGATCGGCAGAGGTCACGGACAGTCGGCTCACCCGAGGCGTCGGCCGTGAGAGAACGCGCGCTGGGAGGTCGGCTCCCCGTGGGCGGGTATAAGAGCGGTGTCGGGTGTCGGCATCACCACACACACACCTGCACCTCACGCCGAGCTCAGTCCAACCGCAGCTTCGTCATGTCTCGAGCAGTCGTCTTCGGCCTGACGCTGGCCCTCCTGGTGGCCCTCTGCCTGGCGCAGACGGCAGACCAGGGCCTGCTCAGTGGCTTCGGCCTCGGCTACTCTGGCTACGGGACGCTACGGACGGCTGGGCGGACTCGGACCGGACGGCCGCCTCAGAGGGTACGTCGGATTGTACGTGCTGGTTTTTGTCGTCCAGTTATAAGCTTGCCTGGCATAAAATACTATTTTTGCTGATCCAGCTTTGGGTCTGTCAAGTGCTTGACCTCCAGCCGAGCGCATGCGGCAGCATAGAATGAAAACGGCTCCATTTTACTTGTTGGATTCACTTCGAAGCTGCCAAGAGCCCGAATTTCTAATAATAAATGACTAGAGAAAGCATTACAGTTAATGAGCAGCTTAAATTGCCATCGGTTGTAGTTTCACTACGTCCAACTCACATCTAGAGATCATGTCAGAATGGCAACACGAACGTAAAACTCACTTAGGTTAAGCGGCGAAATGTAATGGACACGTACCTAGACAAAAGAAAACGTGGACTCGAGACCCAGTGCAGATGCATCCGAAAGCATGTCGACAGTGTTCTAGAGCTTTAATGGTGAAATGTAGCTCATGTTTTGCTAGTGGGTTTCATTAAGTGACTGTGTTAAGTGCTATGGAAATATGTGCTTGTGTAGGTCGCTGATATGGGTGGTATTCCTGATAAGACTTTTAGGTACAAGTATTTCTAGGCCAAACTCAAAATACACCGAACAATCTACTTAACTTGCCATCTGTCAAATTGTGCATCATAATGATATTATGCGAGACATAACAAGTCAGCATATGTGTGTTCCGTCATGTTTTGTCATATGATGCCTGTTAATGCTTGTAATGTCATTATGTGAGGCCTGTTAATGCCTGTTATGGAGTGATGTGATCCCCATATCTCATTCAAATGGACGTATTCGATGTTATGAGCTGGAGGTGAGCGTACTGAGTTCATGAGGAGTAAAGTATTACGTGGATGATGAGTAAATTATGAAAATTGGTAGATCAATAGCGTAACCATGTAATGTCGATGAGGTTTACACATAATTAGCGGTCAGTTGTTTCGTCTGAGTTGACTTTTTGGTTTCTTTAGCTCTGTCACTCTGTAATCATGGAAAACTGCTTTGTCCCCCTGTTCCATCTAGCGACAACCATTCACTTATTGCATCCAGTAGATACCACCTACGAGAACCCCGGCACTGTTCTTGACTGTGCGGCTCATTGGTAGGTTCGCCGGCCCGCTGGGCGGGTACTCCAGCTCGGGCCGTAGCTACAACAACTACTGGAACGGCTACGACGGTCGCTACGGTGGTACGGCCACTTATCCGGAGAGTTACGGCAGCTACGGCGGCAACGGCTTCGGTGGCTTCTACTAGAAGCACGTTATCCGGCCCAGATTTCATCTGTTTTCTGTTGTTATTTCTTAATGTACTTTATATGCTTGTTCTCAACATCCATTTTCAACTTCTACTCAACCCAATCGACAAATTCATATTTGTTGTGTGGGTCAAGCTGACAGTCGTCTACAGTGATGCGCCAATAATACGAAGCTGTAAAACTGGCTGCGATTTTTTTATCACAGACACGTTCCGCCCTCTATAGAGGTCGCCTCCCATTCGCCTCTCACTCGGTTCAAAGACGACTCTCCCGTCCTGATTGCGAGAAGAAATGGCGTGAAAGGGATTCCTCCCTTCTTAAAGGGAAGAGTTAAAAGGTTAAGTGAGAGTTCTACATTGTATGAGGTCTTGAACTGAAGTCGCTTTTTAAAGATCGTTCGGTGCAGTTCATAGCCCCGCCATTCTTAAAACATAAACTCCCATAGTTTCTGAGCCAGACGCCCGCGAAGATGTGCACACTATTTCGGGGAGACTGTTTCACCCGGGCATCCATGACGCCATAATAACGTCATCCAAAACTTGCCATTCCATTGGTCACACGGATATCAAGACAAAGGAAAAAGAACTTGTCGTGTCCGTTCATATCTGGCGTTCGTGAGCACAACTTTCAGATATAGCAGCCGTCAACTGGCTTTCAATCGGTGATGCGCAAGGTACGATGACATAATCAAACAATCACGCATTGAAGAAGCATTTTTGCTAAACAGAGAAGTTGTACTGTCGGGAGCAGTCTTTTCCACTTCAAAGTATACCAATAGTTGCAAGTAAGCCTGTTATCATAATACTGATGCTTGCTTCGATATCTTTAAATGTGGAAGCATTCCCTTTAGGCGGTATGACTGAGAAACGGTGCAGGTTTTTTCCCCACGGTGCTGAGTGTGATTTCCCGCGGTGCCTGCTTTTCCTGCTAGGGTAGAGGCTGGCGACGCCATACATCCTCAGCTGCTGACTGTGTCGTGAAGTATCAATGCATTCACTAGAGTAGATGCCCCTGGACGGCTCAGCAGCTGCTCAGTCAAGGGGCAGTCATGGGGCTGGCACCGTCACGGACATCGAATGGCAGAGACAGCCGGCATTGGTCGGCATGGCAAGGTCTGTTCATCGCAGACTCCCGAGTTTCGTTCAAAGGGGGTAAAGTGCAGGATGGATCTTGCGAAACAGCACCGAGTGCACACATTTTGATCCGTCAATGACCGTTCCAGTCAGACTAATGCGACGGCACATAGTGGAAGCCTCCTCAGGTAAGATTTCTTTTACCCCCTTCTTTTACCCCTTTCAAGCGCTGATCCCACGAATTCACCTAAGCCTTGAAGGCCTTTAGTTCATGGATCCGATGGCTGTAACTCGGTAGGACTGATCCATATGATTCGATCATACTGTTCTCAAGTAGCTGCACCTCAACATTGGTGCATTAATTCGGAAGAAATCCGCTATGCAAGGAGACATCGCTTTGCAAACACAAACGGCATTGCCTTGTTTTTTAGGCCTGCGAGTAGGATGAAAAAGTAAGCATACCAATGTGTCATTCCTAAACTGATCATACGAATGCGTTGGAAGTGCACGTATTCAAGGCAATGTGGCAATGAAACAACATTTCAGCACTTTACTACATAAAACAGGATGAACACGATAGGATACACCTGAAAAACATTACGGTACGTTGCTGTTTTTGGGGAGGAGAGTGAGCCGTCCCATACTGTTACTGCATGCATGTTAAATACTCACCAGGACCATGATATTAGGGAAAAATGCATTCCTACATATGATGATGTATTCCGACTTTGGGAGCCCCGAGATACCTCGTTAGAGTGCAAGCATTTAGGGGAAGTGTAATGCTTTGACGTTTTTGCCGCAAAGCAAAGAATCGTGGATGCTTAAGACGAAGCTTATGAGAGAGCGGCCCACCCAAGGATGGTTTTCACAATCGATTGGAGGGGGTCTCAGCCAAAAAGATTGACGTCACCTTCCTCCAAAGCCCGATTTCAACCCGGATTTCGGGCACTTGAATTACAATGGCTATTCATTGTCATTTGCTTCCTCGATATCAAAGTTTAAGAAATTGTATTTCGTGGATTTAGAATCGTTTTCCTGCAGAGGAAATAACTTCCCACTTCAAGTAAATGAGAGCCGCCTGTTTGTGAAAACTTATGCGAGGGTGTAATTCATCGAACAACATCTTAGTAAACCTTAGTAAGGGACCACTGGTGAATACTGCTGTCGCTGATCGTGTTGGGTAACCATCATTGTCAGATTATGCGACACATACGCTTTCTACTGTTGGGAAAAGCATGCGTTTTATCATGGCCACACTACTTTAAAAAGCTGCCACATTTTTCAGGTAATTGTTCTTCATTCTAATCCAGGCGGCATAATTTGAAAAACTTGTCAAACATTGCGGACTGGCTTACCATATGAAGGAGTAAGCATGATAAAAACGTGTTGTACCTACAGGATGTTATCTGGTACGCAATCTACATAGTACTTATAGTGATGTGTTTAGGTGCATACTACCTAGCATTCCAACAGTTAAGCCTATTGTTCTGTACTTATTTGGCCCACTATTCCTCTTTGCTCATATGCATTGAGGGGGCTCAGAGGAGCGTGGGAGGACTCAAATCATCGTATGGGGGCCTCAGACCCCCGAAAGTGTATAAAGTGGCCCAGCTCGGCCCACCACTTGCTAATGGACTGAGCCACTGGCAAGAACGGTAAATAGGAGTTTCTCAATTTTCTGTGAGCTCATCGAAGTGAAAGACACCACTTTGTGACAGGAGACAGCTGCGCTTCCCTCCCACAGAATTGGTGGCGGCGCATGTGTGTGTAGCTACGCAGTACCAGTGTCTATCATGCGTGTTTGCGGCGTGTTCGCAGTACGCCGTACGCGTGCGCATCCGTAGCGTTGATGAAATGCAAGTTTCCTTTCGTCTGTATGATTTAACACCTGCGTCGAGCCCCGCCGACACCAGTCCAGCTGCACTATGCGATGCAGTGATTCCGCTGCGTAGCTCTGTCTTTGTCGACATTCAACCAATAGGACACGACAAGCTCAGCAAAACAAAGGCTGACAATGAAGAGCAGATTTCTGGCCTGTATTTATACGCGCACGGCTCCGGCTGCTCAGTATGTCAGTGTGTCGGTGTGTCAGGAGTCACAATGACAACATTCTTGGTGGTCGTTCTTCTGGGTGTGGCCGCAGCCAAGCCGCCTCCGTCTCTGCTACGAAGACCACCGCCTTCCGTCCAGGATGTCAAGTCTCTGGAGCCCGTGCCGTTTGACCCCTGGGATGGAAGTCGCACGCACTACTCTGTCTTGTGGTGCCCATACTCTGGCTACAGGAACATACACCATCACATCACCGAACCATCCCTTCCAACTACGAAAACAACTACGACTGCCTCTACAACCTGACGCCGAGTTCGGGTGCTGAAACCTATCCATCAGCTGTTCTGCGTTCAACATTCGAGTCTCACAGCTCCTGTGGATGGGATTGGCTGCGGGTGAACGGAAACAAGTTTTGTGGTACCCAAGGTCCCTCTGTCTCCAACAGCGGGGCCCTAAGCATTGACTTCCATGCCGACTATTCTGTAGTCAGGAGCGGGTTCTCCTGCACCATCACAGCTGGGCCCACGTCCTCCTCCGACTCCCTGACCTGTGGTGCCCACGCTCTGGCGGTGGGTACCTACACGATCACAGTCACCTAACCACCCTTCCAACTACGAAAACAACTATAACTGCCTCTACAGCCTCACGGCGGGTTCAGGTGCTGAAACTCTATCCATCAGCTGTTCTGCGTTCAATATCGAGTCTCACAGCTCCTGTGGATGGGACTGGCTGCGAGTGAACGGAAACAAGTTTTGTGGTACCCAAGGTCCCTCTGTCTCCAACAGCGGGGCCCTAAGCATTGACTTTCATGCCGACTACTCTGTAGTCAGGAGCGGGTTCTCCTGCACCATCACAGCTGGGCCCACGTCCTTCCTCCGACTCCCTGACCTGTGGTGCCCACGCTCTGGCGGTGGGTACCTACACGATCACATCACCTAACCACCCCTTCCAACTACGAAAACAACTATAACTGCCTCTACAGCCTCACGGCGGGTTCAGGGTGCTGAAACTCTATCCATCAGCTGTTCTGCGTTCAACATTGAGTCTCACAGCTCCTGCGGATGGGACTGGCTGCGAGTGAACGGAAACAAGTTTTGTGGTACCCAAGGTCCCTCTGTCTCCAACAGCGGGGCCCTAAGCATTGACTTCATGCCGACTACTCTGTAGTCAGGAGCGGGTTACTCCTGCACCATCACAGCCGAGTCCGGATCGGGCGTCACGACTCAGCCCCCCTCGGGCAGCTGCAGCTGCGGCGTGGCCAACCGCGCCTCCCGGGTGGTCGGCGGCGTCGAGACCGAGGTCAACGAGTACCCGTGGCAGGCGGGCCTGGTCAGCCCCGGCGGGACCCGCACCTGGTGCGGCGGCAGCCTCATCAACGACCGGTACGTGGTGACGGCGGCCCACTGCACCAGTGGCAACACGGCGTCGCAGATCCAGGTGCTGCTGGGCGACCACCGCATCAGCGTCACCGACGGTGAGTCGCGTCACACCCTCAGTCACATCATCGATCACCCGTCCTACGTGACGCACAGCCAGGGTTACGACATCTCCCTGCTGAAGCTGTCCAGTCCGGTGACGTTCAACAGCCGGCGGGCGACCGTGTGCCTGCCGACCGCCGGCCAGACGTACGCCGGCGCCACGGCCATCGCCACCGGCTTCGGCCGGCTCGGCGCCTCGCAGCCGCAGGCTACGGAGCTGCAGGAGGTCGAGCTGCCAGTCCGCTCCGAAGCTCAGTGCAGGGCCGTGTGGAGCTTCGTCACTGAAACCATGATCTGCGCCGGGGGCCTGCCTGCCGGCGGCAAAGGCCGGTCTGCATGGGCGACAGCGGCGGCCCGCTCGTCACGCTGGAGAACAGCAAGTACGCCCTGATCGGCGTCGTCTCGTTCGGCCGGCCGTGCGCCGTGGCGAACACACCCGACGTCTTCGCCAGGGTTACAGCGGTGCTGTCCTGGATCCAGAGCAGCACGACCGACGCTACCTACTGCAGCTAGAGTACGGTGGTCCGCCCGACCGCCGGCCAGCCCTGGATCCAGAGCAACACGGGCCGACGCTACCTAGCTGCAGCTAGAGTACGGTGGTCCGCCCGCCCGCCGGCCACCCTGGATCCAGAGCAGCACGGCCGACGCCACCTACTGCAGCTAGAGTACGGTGGTCCGCTCGCCCGCCGGCCACCCTGGATCCAGAGCAGCACGGTCAGACGCTACCTACTGCATTTAGAGTACGGTGGTCCGCCCGCCCGCCAACCTGAGCTGACGGGCATCTTTGAACCTGTACTCGATTGCCGTGCATTTCGTCTGGAGCAAGTGTGGGTCATAGTTTTGAGTTCTGTCGGCTTGTAAGAGCCATTTTGTTGCAACTGTACCATTCACCATTCTTTTTTATTTCATGTCACAAATCTGTGTTGACAGGTTTGCTTGCTTGCTTGGCTCGCTTGTTGGGATTGGGACAAATTAGTATAACCTGTAACTATGGCGCACCTGCCTATACCTATGTAAAACCTGTACCTATGGCGTCTCCCCACGTTGACTTGACAAGCATAAAATCATTAAGTACGTAATATATCGAAACATCAAGGTGGACTACATGTTTTGCGAAGAAACGAACCTTCGGAGGTCATTTTCACCTAGATCCAACGATGCAGCTCAGTTGCCAATCTCCACGTTGACAAATGAAACCATACACATAAATTAATAAGCACAAGCACGTTAGAACAACACCATAACGCTCGCCAGCACGGCCATTATTGTGTATTATGCATGATGCAGTTGCAAGCCGTGCGAACAGTTTGGATTGACGACAGTTTGACTGACGTGCATTGAGCCACAGTTGCCAATGGCCTAATTTGCTCTCTCTCTCTCTCTCTATCTCTCTCTCTCTCCCTCAAAGTCTCTCGCTCCTCTCT